ACAGGCAAAGGAGACCCTCTATGGAGGCTTGGAACTCTGACAAATGGCATCATTGGAAAGAAGAGATTTTGAGTCAGGGTCAAGAGAGAATTACACATTAGTGCAAAGGAACAGAAAGAGTCACCTGGGGCAGAGAACTCCTGGTTTTATACTGGGCAGAAGACCTCTGGAAGGTGCAGGAAGACAACTGTGCAAGTTGTCCTACAACGAGGGAAGTAGGAGGTCACTGGTGGAAGTACACTGAGGATCAGGTGTTAAACAACTATTGCATTTCACATCCTCTTCTAATTAAATTAACTGAAGTGGTCAGATCTTAACAAAAAGACAGAGGTCTTAATTTGACCACGTCCAAAGCATGGCTTGTAGCAGGAGGTAGCTCTGGAGAGATTTACAGCTCTAACCACTCCCAGGCAGACAGTAAAGCAACGCAGAGAGGAAACCAGCTGAGCTACCTGCAAGCAGACAATGACTACAGCAGAAAGAGAACTGCGGGCACTCAGGCTGCAAGTTACTGGATCTAGTTCAATAAAACTAAGTAGGTTGGAGTGGTAGAAAATATATCTTGACAAGTTAAGATTATATCACTGGAAAACACAATCTAACGAAAGAGATCTTCATACAAGCAGCAAAGTCTCTTTACTTTTTTGACTTCAGTGCTTAGTGCACAGAGAGAGAGAGAGAGAGAGAGAGAGAGAGAGAGAGAGAGAGAGAGAGAGAAATAAAAAAACAAGGCAAGAAAATGCCTCCAAAAACTCCCAACTCTCCCAAAGCAGATCCAAGGGAAGAAAATTAAACATCAAATAGCTGAGCTGTAAAAAATGATTAGAGAAGAAGTAAAGAAACCCTGTGAACTCAAAAATGGTAAAATCAAAGAGATAATGGCATTCATAAACAACTTGATCTATGTGGTTAAAGAAGAGTCAAATAAAAAATTAGAAGCTAGGATAACCAAAAACATTCTAAATACGAAATTGCATCCATGAGAAGGTGCCAAATAGAAATCCTAAAAAATCCAATTGGATATATTAACAGCAAAATTGATATATAGGAGCCAAGTGCCAGACTTTGAGGACATATTGGAAGTTCAAGACTATACTCAGAGATACCCTAAAAATGAGAGAGAAAACAAAATTGATCCAACAGCTGCTAGATGATGAAAAGTCTAACTGAAGATCAATTGGAATTAGAAAAATATTAGAGGACAGCACACATGGAATAAAAGATCTGTTTGAGAAATCATAATTTAAATCTTCCCAAACATGGGGAAAGAACTCCAAAAGCAGTTACACAAGGCTTATGGAACCTCAAATAATTATGAGAAGAAGTTCCTCACATCATAGTCAAAATCCCAGATTATTATAAAGACAAAATCTTAAAAGTCTTCCAAAGAAAAGCAAAATATACATAAAGGTAAACCCATGAGGAGTACAGTAGAATATTTAGCACAAGCATTGAAGGCTAGGACAGTTTGGCATGAACTGTTTCAAGCCCTATAAGAAAATGACTTTCAACTCAGACTAATATATCTTGCAAACTATTTTTAATAATCTTTGGAAAAGTAAGAACATTTTATGATGAAGAACACTTTAAGAAAGTCATGACCAAACCAACATTCCAATAAATTCTTAAAGATAAACTAAATAGACAACACAATCAACAAAACCAAGAAGTTCAGTGATACAAATGCATCTTGTGGTACAAGCAGTTAAACAAAAAGGGAAAAATAATGGAATCAATAGCAGAAAAATAATGCAATGGCTAGACTAAGTCAATGCTTTTCAATAATAACTCTCAAAGTAAGTAGCTTGAACTCCCCAAATAAAGGACTTAGATTGGCAGAGGAGTTTAATAAAAGTAACTTGTTGTTTTGCTACATTCAAGAGATATATCTTATCCAAAAAGAAATTCATACAATCTAAAAAATTAAAGGATGAAAACAATATTCCACACTCCAAAGCAAACTGGAAAACAAAGTAGATGTCAAGAAAACTGGTCAGAAGTAGTAAAGAAGTTCACAGCATATTAGTTAAGGGAACAATTCAACACAAAGTGATAATAGTTGTAAATATATATGCATCAAACATCAATGCACCCAACTTCATAAAACAAACTCTACTAAACATAAAATAACAGATAAATGTCAACATAATCTAGTGGGTGCCTTTATACCCCACCTTCACAAATAGAACCAGCAGACCAAAAATCAACAAAGAAATATCAGAGCTGAACCACACCTTTGAACAAAGGGACTTAACAGATATGTACAGAGTGTTCTACCCTACTATAGCAGAATAGATATTCTTCCTAGAAGCAAATATAACTTTCTCCAACATAAACAACATATTGGCCTATTTGGCTTGCTTAAATAAATACAAAGCAATAGAAATTATCCCATGTGTACTGTGAAATCATAGGGCACTTAAACTAGAAATCAATCACTAAAAAAATACAGAAATTTTACAGACACCTAAGTATCAAACTTGAATATTCAGTAGTCACAGAAAAAAATCAAGGAAGAAATTAGACTTTCTCTAGAAACCAAAATTAGTGTCAGTACAACATACCAGGTATCCACACAGGATGAAACTTTATGAACAGAACCTTAAATGCCCTAGAAATGGAATCAAGAATCAACAAATAGGATTGTATCAAATTAGAAACCTTCTGGACAGCAAAGGAAACAATCAATAGAGTGAAGAGACAACCTACAGAACTGTAAAAAAAAAATCTTTACTATTGTTTACTACTACCCTGACAGAGCACTAATTGAAAATTTATAAAGAGCTCAAAACAATTAAACCTTCCAAAATAAAAGACAAATCAAAACATGGCCATCTGAAATACCATTTGTCCTTTTTTTTTTTTTTTTCTGGAACTGGGGATTGAACTTGGGCCCTTGCACTTGCCAGGGAAGTGCTTATTCCACTAAACCATCTCCCCAGCCCCCAGCCATCTGAAATAAAGAGATATTTCTCAGAAGTACAAATTGGCAATAAATACATGAAAAATAATCCCTGGCCATCATGGAAATGCAGATTAAAATGACATTAAGATAAATTCCATCTTTATTTCAGAAAGAATGGCTATTATCAAACTCTCAAATAATACCAAATATTGGCAAAGCTGAGGAAAGGCACTCTTGTACTCTGTTGATGGGAATGTAAAAGGGACATCAACTAAAGAAATCTTTATGGAGATTTCTCAAAAAGAAACCAGAATTCGGGCATGGTGGCACATGCCTGTAATCCCAGTGCTATGGAGGCTAACAACAGGAGAATCACTACAAGTCCAAGCTTCATGGTGAGATCCTGTACTAATTATATATTTTTAAAAAATCTTAGAAATGCCATTTGACTCAACTATTCCACTTTAAATATCTTTCCAGAGCCCAGGGAGATAGCTAAATAGAATAAGCGCTTGCCTGGCAAGCACAGGGTCCTGAGTTCAACCCCTGGTATAGCAAAAAAATAAAATAAAATAAAATATTTCCAAAATGTTAAAGACATAATGCCACAGTAATATGTGCATACCTATGTTTACAGCAACACAACTCATAAGAGCTAAATCTTGGGGGCTGCAGAGATGGCTCCGTGGTCTAAAGCACCTACTTAGAACAAGCTTAGCAAAGCACAGGGACCACGGTTCAATCCCCCAGCACCACATGCCAGCCAGCCCCCTTGTGGGCTGGGCTACACACACACACACACACACAAATAAATAAATAAATAAATAAAATTTAAAAAAAAGTAAGAGCTAAATCTTGGGAGTAGTCCATATATCCACCAATAGATGAATGGATAAAGAACATATGCCATCTATAGATAAATCTGCATCAAATGTAAGAAAATAGATGCACCTAGAGGCCTTAATGTTAAGTTAAATAGATCAGATGCCTAACTTTAAATATTGAATTATTTTTCTTATATGAGAAACCCAAAGTTTCCCTAAATAACTGTAAAAACAATAGGAAACAGGGAGATACATATTTTGAGAAGGCAATCTAGAGATGGGGGTAGTAAATTTAAAAAACTAAAATACTTTACATGCACATACTCCCTAAGATGAATGTAAACATCATGCAATGCAATCATACGCTGATTAAAAATAAGTTAAAAAAATGAAATTAAAAGTTTCTTTTAATAGGGTTTTGTTTTTGTTTTTTTGTGTCCTTGTGTGACTTATTTTATTTTATTTTTTTAAGAATTCTTATGTCCTTTTATTCAGATAATAAAGTTGCATTTCTAATACTAACATTGAAAACAGCAGAGTTTATGTAAATATACTTATATCTGGAGTTCATCTATACACTTGCAATAACAATACTTAAAAAATCACACAATTCGGTCTTGCTTTTAATACAATCAGCTAGTTGTATTTTTTTTTTTTTTTGGTAGGACAGTTCCAATAATTAACACATTGCATACATTCTTCCTAGTGGTTAATTGCTGTAAACAAAAAAAGGAGGGATACAGATGAATGTCCATTTTGTATCT